AAAAAATAAATAAATTATATTTAAATAATTTTCATTGGTATTATAAAATACAGAGTAACAGTAAATGAAAAAGTAAAGCATACAGACCATTCACATGGTATTCATCTTAATGAGGAAATACAGCGCATGAAAATATTAACAGTGGACTGGTGAGATTATGTGTGATAATTTTGGTTTTCATTATTTATATTCTAAGTGAAAACATAAAACATGGTGACCTTTTTGCTAAATTCCATTCAACTCAAACCAAAAATCATTGCTTCAGCTCCTCCAAGGATCAAGGCCATATATTAGGTATGGTAGAAGACACAAACAATAAAGTAGACACAAGAGCATAGGCTTTTGGAATTTAAAAGGCTCAGATGTAGACCATGGAAAGTTGGCCCTTGGCTTCATGATGTGTATGAAGTCTAAAATTTCAGACAATTTTGGCCATTGGTACCTGCCACCTCACAATATCTTCTTGAAACTAATGTCACAGTTGAGCTGGCTTACAAAATAAGGTCTACATAAGGCAAACTAAGTTTTGGTAATTGGTAGATAATTCATGAATCATTGTTAGTAACAAAGAAAACTTGAATATCAGTCAATTTTATTTCATCTTCTATGTTAACTATGGGAATAAAAAGTAGAAATTGAAACTATGAGATTTCCTTATCATTAATCTTTAAAAATTTAATGTTAGGTAGTTGTATCAATGAGTATGACATTCTTTCTCTTAATTTAAATTAGTCTTTAACTGACACATAAAACATATACCTATTTCTATGTAATGTTCACATCAGGGTAAACATATCTATCTCCTCAAACACTTAACATTTTGTTATGGTGAAAATATTCAACATTTTTTCATATTTTTATGTATACAGTATATTATTATTATCTACCGTCAGGCTGCTATGCAATAGCACACCAGAACTTCTTACTCCTATGTAACTATAACTTAGTTCCCAATAATCCCTTCTCTCATAATTCTCCAGCCTTTGATAACCACAATTCTAGTCTCAGTTCCTAAGAGGTCAACTGTTTTAGCTTTTACATATGAGGGAGCACATATAGTACTTGTCTTTCTGTGCCTGACTTATTTCTCTTAATATAATGACATCCAATTCAGTCTGTGTTGTTGCAAATGCCACAAAAGCATTCCTTTTATGGATTAATAGTATTCCACTGTGTTTATGTGCCACGTTTTCGTTATATAGCCATCAGTTGGTGGAAATTTAGATTGTTTCCATTTTTGGATTTTATGAATTGTGCTGCTATAAGCAAGGAAATGCACATGTCTCTTCAACATACTTATTTTATTCTTTGAGTATATACCCAATAGTGAGATCGCTGCATCCCATGGTAGCTGCTATTTCTAATTTTTAAAGGAGCATCATAATGTTTCTGAAGTGACGCTACTAATTTTCATTCTCAGTAGCAGTGTGCAAGGGTGCACTGTGCTCCACATCCTCACCAGAACTTGGTATCTTTGTGGTCTTTGGGATTCTTTTATACTAGTCATTCTTATTGAAGTACACTGTACAGATGACTAGTGATGTTGATGCTTGTTTCCCATGTGTACATCTTCTTTTAAGAAATGTCTTAACGATCTATTGCCCATTTTAATTAGGTTATTTTAGCAGCTTTTTATGTTGTTTTGTTCTGTCTTGCTTTGTTTTTTGCTTTTGATTTTTTGGAGTTCCCTATATATTCTGGATATTAACCCATTGTCAGATGTATAGTTCCCAAATATTCTCATTATTTGGGCTGCCTCTTGATTGTTATTTCCTTTGCTATACAAAAGCTTTTTAGTCTGAAGTAATGCTATTTTTCCGTTATTTTGCTTTTTTGCCTGTACTCTTGGGCTCTTGTCCAAATATCTTTGTTTATTCTAATGTCCTGAAGCATTTTTCCTATGCTCTATCCTAGTAACTTCAAAGTTTTGAGTCTCACATTTAAGACTTTAATCTACTTTGAGTTGATATTTGGAACTGGTGAGAGAGATGTCCAGCTTCATTACTCCACTTGTGAATGTCTACTTTTGCAGAACCATTTATTGGAAAAACTGCCTTTTCCAATGCATGCTCTTAGCACTTTTGTCAAAAATCAGTTGAATGTAGATATGTGGGTTTACTTCTAAGATTTCTACTGTTTCATTACTCTGTGCATCTACTTTTAAACCAAAACTATGATCTTTTGATAGCTTTGCACAATGCTGAAAGAACAGCTGCAAGACTTAGAGCACCTTATCAATTCAAGACTTTATTCTGCTATGGACTTTCCACAGGAGTATATGTGGAAATGTTCACTACATTGCTGGAGATTTAAAACTATTGATGAGAAAATGCTCATCACTACAGTATGACCTTCTGAAGAAATTTTATAAGGCAAATAAGAATATGATTGTTAATTCTTCACAGAAATGTAAAATTTAAGTAAGTAAAAGCATATACATAATTAAAATTTTAACATGATTTGATCAGTGGAAAGGAACCCATAGAATTTAAATAATTATATCAAGATGACAAACAAGAAAGGGTTGATTTAAAATATGCTTATAACATTTTTAATAGTGATTTTTAATATAAAAAAATCTTCTAATGGCATTCTTGGTTTTTTACTATTCATTGAATGATTATTTAGAAATGGCTAACTTTGAAAAGTGTACTAAAAACCAGTTGCAAACTCCACATCTTATTGCTTAAGGGAAAACTCTGATTTCTATTTTTAAAACCTCTCAATAGAATCAATACCGTACTTATCATTTAAGATACATGAAGTCACTGACATTGTGCATTACTTTTCCAAAATAATATAAATGCATAAGAAGATTATGGGGCCAAAGAGGAAAGTGATCGATGATGTAGAGTGTGCCTAAGGAGAGTCACATGGGGAGAAGACACTCTCTCAGGCTTTCACAGAGAGCACATTGGCCAAGCAATGGCCGTGACTCATCCACATGGCCGACACTGACAAAGGTTCTACAATCTGAGGTACAGGATCTCAGGATAAATCCTGAGGGGATTTCACTGACCTTATCAGACCCAAAAGCTACAACTCTTGTTGCATAGGTCCTGCTTTATCTTGGTCTTAACCATCCAGCAGAAAAGTATAAAAACGAAGTATGAGAAGTAAAGCCATGCTGTTATGTTGAGCTGTAGGGGACTCAGGTCAACAATTTCTGACTTTGCCAGTGAAACGGAAAACCCAATACTATTATGGACTACTGGACTCTTTTAGAATATTTTGCTGAGTTAACACACCTATAATATTCAAATAATGGAACTTAACAAAAAAAAGGGATGAATGTCCATTTTGTATCTCTGTATTCAAAGTGGTTAGGATAGATATATAGTTACATTCTCTTAATGAATAGAGGGATTTGTTCTAATAGTGTTTGTAAATAGGAAATCATGTCCGCATCTTGTACAGCAATTAACCACTAAGAAGAATGTATGCAATGTGTTAATTATTGAAACTGTCCTACCAATTTGGTTTGAAACTGTCTCATTGCTATTTGTTTCTCAATAAAATTATGGGGAAAAAAAGAAATAAAAAATAAATAAATGTAAATTATCTAGAAGTTTTAATTTGTACAGTTTCATATACAATAGATAAGAAGAAAAGGATGGCATAAAAATGAAATTTAAAATTTAGAATTTTTAAGGCCTCTTTTTCCTACCTGGCTCACCATTGCTTCAGTAACATCTATGTTTGGTTTCTGTCGAAAAGGAATTGCCAAGGAGTATAGATTTGTCCAAAATCTACCCCACATATCACCTATATTAAAAAAGAATATATTAATATAATGACAAAGCAACAAAAATGGAGACCTGACTTGATACAGTTCACAAACTGTACAGTATTTCTAAACAATTGAATTTCTGTTTCCCTTTTGCTACATTTCTACTCTTTTTGCCTCCTCTTTTTTTAAATTGCCAGCATTTCCTTCTTCTATATCCTCTAAAAGATTAAAATAGTGACAGTTTATCTGATCATGCAAAACTTGTTAGGAAATAAACCTAAATTCTTCTACCTTGAATCATTTATTCAAGGGCACAATTTATTTAGCATATGGAATATCATAGCTACTATAAAGATTAATTCTTATTAATTTCCATTCATGGGCCAAAATACTATGTATTAAGCTATTACTGAAATTACTTAATGTTATAATTCAAAGATATCTACTAAATAGGCAGGCATGGTGGTACACACTTATAATCTCAGCACCCTGAAAAGCAGAAGAACATACCAAGTACAAGCTCAGACTGAAAAGTTTAGTAACTCAGTGAAACTCTATCCCAAAGTTCAAAAACTAAAAAGATCTGGGGATGTAGTTTAATGAGAAGACCTTAGGTTCAATTCCCAGAACTGCAAAGCAAACAAAAAACATTTCCACTAGTTAGCAACTAAGTTCACTTTATTGCTATGGTAATACATTTAACCAGGCAATTTTCCAAGCATTTCCAACAGTATGAAGTTGAATTACAAGATCAGACCTAAAAAGGAAAGATGAGTCTAGAAAATGTCAACATAATAGCAATAGCATAATTCTTGCACCAAGGAAATGGGACAACATAGCTACATGAGTGTATTCCTGTGAATTAATTTTAAAAGATAAAATGGGAAGACCTACACTTAAATTTTAAAGAAAACCTCACCCATCATAAAAATATATGAAGCATAGTCCACAGCTAAAGACTAAAAATGACCCAGTAGACCGAATGACATGGCATTGAAAACACAAACATGATCTTCAGCTAAACTGATAGAATCCTAGTGTCTAGAACAAAGGCAGATGTGGTACCACTTTCTCCCCTTTGTTGGTCAAACTTCATCTAGAGTAGGTATTCAGTTCTGAGACAACAACTGCAGAAGGACTAGACAAAGTGTAGCTCATGCAACAGAGAAAAATTAGAAAAGTGAAATTTTAAGGAATTGTTCAAATTATGTGGGATATTTAACTTGAAAAAAACAGTACGCATGCACTGATAACTACAATAACCACTAAAATATATTGAGTACATACCCTGTGGCAGGTACTGTGCTATATCTTACACCTTCTTTGTATTGGTGCCATAGAGTGCTAGATTAGTCTATCTTAGAGGGAAGAAACAACCGTATCACTATAGGCATGATTGGGAAGAATCTGAATTACTGAATAACGTCTTCCAAGGATATGTAGAGAGGATTTCTATATTTCTTTAGGATTAAAAGTCATTGTTCCTTTGCCTATATTCGCTTCTGCTAATACAGATGAGGTCTGACTGTAAAGAATTATCTACTAGAAACCTTGTTTGGCTATAGAAGAGATACAATATGTGGCATGAAATTTTCAAACATTTATATTGCATTTGGCCTTGGCCTTGACCTTGGCTGCGGGAGTGGGACAGGAGGGCCTCCTCTTTCACTCATTACTTATGTAACTCCTCCCCAAATACTTTCCAGCAAGGCTTGCTGGCTCAGTCTAGGTTGAACACTTGAAGCTTTCGTGCAGGCCAAGCCTTAATTCTAGAAAGACTTCCATTCACACCTGAGAACCTCCATCACACCAAGTTTCTTTCCTTTGAGTCTATGATGCTACAATCCTAAATTCTACTTCAAGTCCTTAGTCAACCACTTTGAATGCTAAATACTATTTTGCTCATTTTCACCTTCATTTTGACTTGGAATTCTCTCTGTAGCTATCTTAAATGCCCCCATTATTCTTGGATTGTAGCCAATATAATAGCTCTTTGTATAAAAATAGTAATCTATTAGAGAATGATTGAAACTGCAGTCTTTGCTGAAGAAAGTGCATGCAAATTGTGATTTATATAGTGTTATTACCTTCACTTAGAGAGTTTTCAAAAATTCTATGATTGGCTTCACTTCAAAAGAAAATTTTATTCATGGAAATAACTGAGATGACAAAGAACACACAGGATTCTGGGGGTTTCTTACCAAGCAAATGAGCAGGGAGGCATCCCACTGGACTGATACGAGAAGGGTAAGCATCCATCAACTTTGCCCTCACGTAGGCATGAAGATGCTCATACAATGGTTTAATCTAAAAGCCCAGGAAGAAAGTTTAAGACCAAGAGTAGCCAACTCCAATTTCCAATCCCCAACAGTAGACATAAGAACTTCTTCATACAAGTGGAATTTCCTTCAATTACTTCTTCTCCTCTCAAGTATTCTGGAGAATTTAAAAACCATTCTCCACAGATATGGATGATGACTAATGCTACTATATAAAACAATAAAAACATCTGGAGGACTACAAGCCCCAAATGAAAAAGAACATCCAAAACAACATTTTTAAGATGCTACTTGTTTTGTTTTTAAATTGAAGTATAATTTACATATCATGAAATTCACTCATCTTTAAGTATACAGTTTCATAATTTTTTCATAAATTAAAGTTTCTGGGGCCAGAGAGATAGCTCAGTAGAATAAGCACTTGCATGGCAAGCACAAGGGCCTGAGTTCAATCCTCAGTTCCGCTAAGAAAAAGAAAAATAAATAAATAAATAAATAAATAAAAATTCATTAATTAAAGTTGCTGGCAAACTATCACCATCATCCAGTTTTTTGTTTTTTGAATTTTTTTTTTTTTTTTGGTTCCTCAAATGCCTTCAGGGCACTTTTGGCCAGCGGGAGAGGTGTGAGTTTCGAACTCCAGCAACCTGAGGCTGACAGCTTTGTGGAAGCAGCCACTTAAAGGCCTGAGCTAGGGCCAGGCCCCCCATCATCCAGTTTTACTACATTTCCATTTCTCCAAAATTTCCGTATAACTATTTTCGGCCAATGCCACAGTCACCTCCAGTCCCAGGTAATTCCTGAACTGATTTCTGTCTCTATATTTTTGCCCCTTTTGGACATTTCATGTAAATGGAATTATATATGTGATCTTTTTGTGTCTGACTTTCTTAGAATGTTTTCTAGGACCACCCATATTGCAGCAAGCATCAGTAGTCCATTCCATTTTATTACTGAGTAGTATTCTGCTGTATGAATATATCAGAGTTCGTTTATCCATTCATCAACTGAAGGATCCTAGGTTGTTCCAGTTTAGTGCTATTATGAATAATGCTGCCATGAACATTTGTGCATATGTCTTTCTTTGGGTATATGCTTTCATTTATCCCCTGTAAGTATCTAAGTGTGCAATAGCTGAGTTGTATGGTTTAAGTGTGTATTTAACTTTTTAAGAAATTTTCAAACTATTTGACAAAATGAGTGTGTCATTTTACTTTCACTAATGGGGTTCAACTTCAAGGATCTTCTACCACTGAGCTGCATCCTCAGCCTTTTACATTGTTTTTTTCTTTCAATTTTAAGATAACGTGGGACCAAATTTGTGATCCACCTGCCTCAGCCTCCATAGTAGCTGGGATGATAGATATGTGGCACCATAACAGGCACCATTTTATATTTTTGCTAGCAAAATGAGAATGAAGGCTCAAGCATCTTCACATGTCCAAGCACTTGGTTTTGTTCATCTTCTTTCCATGACCATTCTGGTGGCTATATACTGGATTTTCATCACAGTTTTAATTTGCATTCACCTAATATCATCTTCCTTGTGCATTGATCATTTGTAAGATTTCTTTGATGGTATAATTAGTCAATCTTTTGCCCATTTCCTTTAGGGGAAGTTGTTTGTATTACTTCCATTTTTGATTGTTCTGCCCAACCATGGCCATGATGGATCTGTTTCACATCAGAAGTTTGATGGTGCTGGGATAAAGAGGCGATATAGAGGTCACAATGAGGGACGAGGTACACACTGAGAAGTGTTCTTGAGATACCTCCACTCAGGAGAAATCCCTTATAAAAACTTTTGTAGTCAAAGGCTAATTAAATCACATCTGAATTGTACTGAGGAAGGAAGCCAAGTCTACGGCTCTGCTAACACATGAGGACAATACCACCCCCAGGTTGCTCACAAAAAACATTCCTTCTTTTAACCTAAAATACCATTCCTTCCTGTATGCTTTCCTTCTTGTACCCTTTTGCTTGGCAATTACTGGTTGATGATTAAAAGGAGAAGAACACAGAGCAAGTCTGATCAGCTGTAGGGACTTGTCTATTTTCTTAAGAAATCTTTGCAATCTCCAAAATTACACAATTCTATGACTGTTGGCCAAGGAGTATGTTACAAACAAGCGAGAATGCTTTTGCCCATCATCCTTCCCTCCTGTGCACTGCCCTACGGTTCTGGGGTTACCTCAGCAAAGGTACGCTCCACATCTTCAATCAACTGGTTGCGGCTGTAGTCATAGCCATCTACTCCTTCTGCTTCATAATCTCCTCTCCAGTAATCCCCATAGTCCTCATAATCTGTTTTTGAAAAGAAGAAAGAGGAGAGCATAAGAGAAGGAAAGGAGACAAAATAGTATAATTTATGATCTTGCTGGAAGGCTAAAAGAAATCTAATGGTTTGTCACAATTTTATTGCCTTTACAGACATTGACATGAAGAAATCTAAATGAATAATACTTCTAGATTATTCTATTAAACACTTATTCCGTACCAAGAATTTAACTGTATTATTTCATGTACACTAAACTGTATGAAATCATCCTCATTATAACCCTCACTGTGCTGATTAACAGCTTGCATTTCTACTTGTTTTTAAAATTAATCTTGTTTTGTACATTATAAGTAAATTCCATGATGTTGCAGACTATATAGAATATAGTGAAATGTTTATTATAATGAAACAAGTTGATATATGTATCATGTCACATAATTACCTGCCCACCCCTGCAAAAGTAGCTATCATTTATTCATTTAGCAAACACCTTGAATACAGTAACCTATTATTAGCTACTGCCTTCATGTTGTACATGAGATTTTCAGACTTTGTTATCTCACATGTCTGCTATTTTGTACACTTTGACCTGTATTTCCCCATTTCCTCCCACACCACCTTCATAACCACAATTTCATCTCTGTTTCTGTATATTTGACCCTTTCTTGTAGATTCCACGTATAAGTGGAATCATGCAGCATTTTTCTTTCTTTACTAATTTTTTTTGGCAGAACTGGGGATTGAACTCAGGTCCTTGCGCTTGCCAGGCAAGTGCTTATTCCACTGAGATATCTCCCCAGCCCCTCTTTATTAAACTTTTTAAACTTAGCATAATATCCTCTAGCTCTGTCCATATTATGGCAAGAATCTCCTTTTATGGCTGGATAATATTCTGAGATATTGTCCATGGTTTCTTTATCCATTGTTCCCTCAATGGACACATAAGCTGTTTCCATACCTTAGTTATTATACATAATGTTACAATGAGCATCAATATATGGGTACATATTTTTTGAGGTGAAGATTTTAAGGTGAAGATGTATGGACCCAGAAAAGAATTGCTGGGTCACATGATAGATCTGTTTTTCATTTCATTAGAAACCTCCATATTATTTTCTCTAACCAAACCAGTCTACATCCCTAGCACCAGCCTATGCTTAGAGCAGCTAAACCACTTTTCCAAGGTCAGACAACTGGTAAGGTGAAGTCACACACTTAGTTTCTTAAGCCTGTGTATCTACTCTCAACATATCAGTTTGCATCATTACCTTTAAAGCATGCAATTAAGTCTATAAGGATCTTTAGTTCTCCTGTTATTCAGGACCTTGTGTTTCGACAGGTCCAGTTTATCTTAGACATTGTTACAATGGGCCCATGTTTGTTGCAAGCTGTATGCATACACAGCACATCTGTATGTGCTTTATGACTATCTAACCATCAAGAAATACGAGCTTGCATTATGCCATGATCTAATAATATTGGCAAATGCGTTTTAATCATTTTTATTTTTATATCACATTGCCAATGGATAGTCAGGAAAATGAAGAAATAAATACTTGAATGGAAGGATATGCTTGGCATTTTTTTAAATTGATGATAAACTAGTATTTGTAGCTTGCCTACAGCTTGAGAATATAAGTTTAAATAGCAGCAGGAGAAATTAAAAACAGCAAGTGGGAAAAAAAACCACTTTTTTCCTTACTCAGCCCCAGGGAGCAGTGAATCACCAAAGCATAAAATATTCATAATTCATGACTTTATCTCATTATTAAGAAGAATAAGCTAAGAGATATGGAAATTCCTTCCTCTGTTAAGATTTTTATGACTACCAGACTTGACTTATAATTACAATTGCAGATAATAAAGGCTTTCCAGCTTAAAATAATATGATTTTTCTTTCTGAGACATCACCTTGAGGTGGGTACAAAGGACTTCTGAGACTGAGCTGTGGTCAGATGAGGGTGAAGGTAAAAGATAGTGTCTATGTCTCTCATGCTGTCGAAGAAATAGGGTCCCCCTTTTAATTCCCAGATTCCTCAGGAACTTTTGGGAGCCTAGGACCTCTCTAGACAACTCATAATTCATAATTTCTGGATAATTTATTTATGACCCTGTAGCTGCATCTCATTCCTGAGCACTAAACTATAGAGTTCCAGTGTGACTTTCTTACGCCCCCATAGTTTCTTTCTGGGACAGGTAACCTGGCTGTTTCAGCAGGCGATTGTTAATTTAAGGGCATCTTCATAGGAAAAAGTAGGCTTAGTCATGCATGAGAAATACTTCCACATTCTGGTACAGAACCTCAGGACCTCGACAGACTGAAACACTTACTGTTTGCTCTTGCCATCTCATTTTTCAGGGCCACATATTCTTCATATAATGGCCTCAGCTGCTTGCCGACCTCAGACCTCCAACCTTCCCAAGCCCAGAGCCTCTCACTGTAGTCTGTGCTCTTTGACATTATGTCATCCAAACCTGTTATTCCACAGCACCCAAGGGAAAATAAACACACATTTATAAGAATTATAAGCAAGTAAAAGAAACCTTAAAGAATTAAAAACAAGGTTGACATAAAGTTATTCAATCAAATCCACTAACCTTGCTGTAGGTACAATATGTCTAAAAGAAAAACTACTGAAATAATTTCATTACTAATTGAAATTACTTCAGTCTAATATAATTTACAATAAGGGTTATTTTGAAGTTAAAAGAGCATCTATGTGCTGAAACACACCTGTTTGGAATGCTACCACCTTTGAACTATCCATCTAAAAAGCACAAAGTCATCAACTAAAGTAAGTTCCTAAAACTTAGAGAATAAAAGTAAAAATGTAAGAATCATCACTGAAGGTTAAGTCTACCTGGTTCAAGCAGTAAGCACTCCTGTGGATTATTCGGGTTACAAACTTTTCCAGTACTATAGATGGTGCTCATTGTATTTAGAATTGTGTTCAACTGCAAATAAATGATAATAATAAATAATATTAGAAACACCAAATATTCTAAAGAGAATGCTAACATAAAAATATCCTTTTGGTCATTTGAATTTTTTTGTACTTCAAAATCGGCTGTTACATCTTCTTTGCCAAGTGTCTTCCTATACATGAGGAAGGGACATCTGATTTAAGATTCTCCACCAGGAACTAGCACAAAGCCTTATAAGTGCATAATAATTAAGTGTAGAGTAACGGAACTAAACATATCTGCCAAAACCCCGGGAAGGTTTCTAACCTAAACATACACAAAATGTACGAATACTATCAACTGTCACTAAAAAGTGATGCAGAAGCATCCTCTGCGGGTGGAGGAGAGTTGGGAATGCTTTCACAGAGGACAGAACATCAGAGCTGTGTCTCACAAAAGTAGGAATTGGTGAGGTGAAGAAAGGAAGTAGAGGGCAGAGCTCAACCATGGGAGAAGGTTGGAAAAGACAAAGTATTTTCAAGAGGTGATGGGATGTTGTATACAACTGAATGATAATATTCACTAGGGGAATAGAGGACGAGTACGGAGAGGTAAGCAGGGAGCAGATTGACAGGACCATCTCTGCCATAACAAAGACTTCAAACTTCATGCAGTAGGTAACAAGGAGTGATGATAACAGTGTAAAATAGCACTACTCATACTGTGGTCCATGGACGAGGAGAAGTCAGCAAAAGGTTTGTTTCTCTTCTGTGATAAGCACAGGAATTGAGAGAATACTATAAATGTTTGTAAACATTACAAAGTAATTTGATATTCCATGACCTCTAAGCATGTGATCAATGAAATTAACCAAGTATTGGATCTGTTATGGGCTGTAATGGATTAATCAAGTATTGATCTGTAAAGAAAGGGGAAGAAAATAGGGGGAGAGGAAAAAGGAAGGAAAGCAAGAAGAGAGTGAGAGAGTGGAAGAGAGGGCGGAACTGGGTTTATTCCACAGATTTAAGAAACAGTGAATTGAAAGCTCTGTCTCCTTCTACTCCTCCTCCTCCTCCTACTACTACTACTACTACTACTACTACTACTATTCCTCCTCCTCCTCTTCCTCCTTCTCCTCCTCCACTTCCTCCTCCTCCTCCTCTTCCTCCTTCTTCTGTTTTGGTACTAGGAATCAAACTCAGGACCTTGCACTTGCCAGGCATGCACTGTGCCACTGAGCTGTCTCTCTAAGCCCCTCCAGTATTCTTTCATTCTTCTACAGAGTCACTCTCCTAAAACATGAAATTAATACCAGGCTTAGAACTCCACAACAGCACATAGCCCAAGGAATAAGCCTAAATTCCTTGGCATGAAATTCTGCCTGTTGTCTTTCTCTACCTGCATTCTTCAATCTCTTTCCTTCCTCCCTATTAAACCCATACATCCTTGAGTATCCCTTCTGCCCAGATACTTCAAGATCCAATTATCATTTAGTGTGTAGCGTTTATTTTTATTTTTATTGCGGTACTGGAGATTGAACTCAGGACACTGCGCTTGCCAGGCAAGCGCTTATTATACTGAGCTATCTCCCCAGCTCAGTGTGTAGCATTTAATCCTCACGCACATTACAGTTATCTGAGGATCTTTTCAAAATAGAAGGTTCAGACTCCATCCAGTGTACACTATGCTGTCTAGATTCAAATGGGAAGAGTTTCTCATGGTGTTCTTGAGAAAATTATGGAGAACCAAAAAATGGATAAGATAAAGTGAATTAATAGCTAAGGAGATCATTTGATCCAAAGAATGCAGAACAATAAATATCAACTTGTATAAATAAATACCATATGGCTTTATCTCTGTCCTTATCAGAAACTTTTATTTTTATAAATGTGGATTGGGACATACAGAGTTCCAGGAGACAAATAGCTGAAAGGGCAGAATTTGATGTTAAATAGCTAAGTATTTCCAATAAACATATTTCACTAGGCTCTATCAGGGGTCTGCAAACTATTGTCTGCAGAAAATCCTGCCTATGCCTGTTTTTGTAAAAATTTTATTGGAACACAGCCCCATTCACTCCTTTATGCATTAGCTGTGGCTGGCTTCCCACTACAATGGCAGAGTTGACTACTGTGACACAGGCAACATGGTCTGCAAAACCTCAAATATTTATTATTTGTTCCTTTACAGAAAGGGAGTTTACTGGCTCCTGGGCTAGACAGCTGGGCCAAGAATGGTACTTTAGCAGAAATTCAAATAGACTTTCTTTAATTTGGACAAACTAAGAAAAAAATTTAAAGAGCCATTTTAGATAAACATTGGTGGGATAGATTTGAACACTCCGTTGGTGGCGAGGTTCACATTAGCCAACCAGGGCATCTGGCTATCAAGAACTGAAACACTTTAATGCAGTTCTAGACTGCCTTAATAGATGCAGATCACAGGAACCCATGCCATATTTCTGCTTACCTCTGTGCAGATCAGAGCCCAGTGTCTTCCTTCACTCTCAAAAAAACTTATTTGGGTGATGTTTTGGATCATCTAAAGGCCACATGCTAAAAGACTGTCTCTCAGTTGGTGGCACTACTGGAGGAAGTGGACTCTGCAGGAGATGGAGACCTAGCTGCAGGAACTAGGCACTGCGGATGTGCCTTTGAAGAGTATATTTTGTCCCAGGCCTTTAGCTCTTTCCCTCTCTTTTCTCTCCTATCCACCAAGAAGTGAACCTCTTTGCTCCTTCACATTCTCCTTGCCAGAATGTTCTGCCCAGAAGCAATGGAGCCAAGTAGCCACCAATGCAAACTTCTGAACCATGAGCTCAAAGAAATCTTCCCTCTTTAAACTGATTTTATTGGGTTTTTGGCAGAACAACAGAAAGATAACTTTTATGGTCACCTTACGTAGGCACAGAAATCCTGCTAATGTCAGCATTACTATCTTTGCAGATGAAGGAAGCAGCCATGGGTGGTACAATGTTTTATATCTCCCATACATTTCAATGTTTGGGATGAGTACTAAAACATTCACAAACATACCCGTTTGTTCTTGTCTGCGGAAAGCGCTGAAGACCCACTGTGCTGAAGAGCCTGCAACTGACGTTTGACTGTGAGATTCTGAATTTCTTGTAGTGGATAAGCTTTGGCAAGGTTTGACTGTTCTTCATAAAAGGTAGACCAGACGGCCCCAGCCTCATTCTGAAATGGCAAAAAATAAAATTGGAATTGGAATGCCATGACATGGCTTTAACAGAGGAGAAGACAGAGTACAAAGAACATCTGGTGAAACATCTACTATTTCCAGAATGGTTTAGTCCCCCACTTTGATAAAGGTCATGGTTTAGGTTAAAAGTGACCAGGCCACATTTGGCTACTCTCTCTTTCTGGCCCAATGCCTAGTTTTCCCAAGGGTCCTGTCCCCAGAACTGGATGTGAATTCTCACAGATAATCCACACTGTGAGACCCTGGAATTTATGGCCTTTGTGCTGTGACGTAGGTGAATTGGCCAAAGATTGAAGGAAGAATGCTCTAAAAGAAGAATCCAGTAGAGTTCAGAATGGACATGATGGGAATACAGTCCTCATGGCCATGAGAACCACGAGAAATGAGAAGCAGCTCACAGTGAGCCCCTATATGCCATCATTTATTACAACTCTTCAGAGCATAAACTGTGATCTCAAAAGGCTTCCCAAGATATAGCCATTTAGCAGTCATGGTGATTTTTTACCAGGAAAAGAAATAAACACACAAATAATGACACAATGTATCTCCCCATCATGAATATTAGTAGGAAAGTAAATGTTTCCAGACTTTCCTAGCGAAGTCTTCTTCTCTCAATGTACATATTTATTTCTATGTGTCAGAGCCTAAAATGAACAAGTGCTTTGTACACCACACTGCTCCAAGGCCATACAAAAGAGATAGAGTATGACACAATAAATGTGTGATTTCATTCCTGGAGTCACACATCGCTGACTAGCTTATAACCTTGGGCAAATTAGCTTCTCTGACCCACAGTTACTTATCTGCAACAGGTGAAGAAGAATAAGACTTACATAAAAGGGTTGTTGTGGGGATTAGAAGAATTACAAACAATAAAATGCTAACCAGAGTGCCTGACACATCCTAAGATTCAATAAATGTTATTTGTTGCTTATAGAGAAAAGGCCCTTGTTCTTAAGTCATTTAAAATTGTATCAGATGGATAAGATATGAATCATGAATGCTTCACTAATGAGACATGAGTATATAGTACTCTATAAACTGTGAATGGGCTGATCAGTTTCAGTTATAAGAAAGGAGAAGCACATACAGATGACCATATTTGGCCAAGTCTTCTGAGAAGAGGGACTTAAAGTAGGTAAGATGTGGAGGACATGGAATACTTCACAAAATAATTTATCCCATTTGAGCTTTTTAACAACTTCATGAGAAAGGAGATCACTGTTTTTCTCCATTGTATACATGCAGAAAAGGGGCCTAGAGAAAGAGTGGAGCTGGTAATCATCCACCAGCATTCAATCTTGGACCTGCAGCTGACAGAAACTAAGATGGCTCCCATGATCCCTACCTCCTGGTGGTCATGCCCTCACACAGACCCTCTTGAGTAAGAATAGACCTATGACTTGACTCTAACAAAACTTGTACAGCAAAGGTTATGGGGTGCACATATTCACATCACAAATGATTGCAATTTTTATCATGCCAGAAGACTGTCTCCCTTGCTGACTTTAATGCAACAAGATGTCATGGTACATATATTCTATGGAAAAGCAAAATGGCCTGGAATTGAGGATGGCTTCTGATAGTATCCTGTAGTTAAAGCAAAGACCTCAGTTCAGCAGCACACATAGATCCTAAAATAACGCTAGCCATGTTCGCTTGGAGTGGATCCATCGCTAATCAAGCATCAGACACGATCATAGTGCTAGCTGCCACCTTGAGTGCAGACCTAAGAGACTTCCAGGACGCAGCTGAGCTGTGCCTGGGCTCCTGACCTGCAGCTGCTGTGAGAAAATAATATATGCTATTTTAAGCCACTAACCTTGCAGCAACTTTTCATGCAACAGGTAACTACCAGAACTCTCACAGCCACCATTCCAGGTATGATTGCACTTTTCAGGCCAAGGATTTTTTCTTTCGTCCTTTGAGCATTAGGTAGTCATGGAGAGGTTCTGAATAAGCATGTGCCACAATGAAAATGGCTTGCACAAGTAAAAGTAATGGACCGGAAAAGATACGGAGAAAATAGTGGTAGCGAAAAAAGAAAATAATTTCTCTCTTTATTGAGCACTCACAATGTCTCAGGAACTGCTTTTCAGTTCATGTTCACATACAGTGCTTTGGGGGGGAGCCATCATCTCTATTCCAGAAACAAAGAGAATGAAGTACAGAGCAAAGTAACTTTTCCTCAGTCACACAGTTCGTAAGTGGAAGAGCCAAAACATCAAGCCAGTTGTGCTTACCTCCAGAGCTCCTGCTCAGAGCCATCGACACTGAGCCTTCCGACTGTAGCTCACACATTCTGGCCTTCTCTCTAATGTGTGTGAATGAACTACTGAAAGAGGACTATGGTCTACAAAACAAGCTGAACTGCGCAACCCACCACTCACCTATGAATTCCTCCACCCCTTTCTTTATCCAGTCCAGGACAATTTATTGTCAAGTAACATTTGCGGTAAAAGTTTGAAGACAAATTACATAAACAAATTTATTCTTGATTTATTTTGGAAACAGCACAATCCCTCAAATGCCTCAGTCTTAGATCATTTTTTATTATACTGCTTTTGGGAACTTTGAGACTATATGAATTGATTTCATCACTACCACTATACAAGGGTTATACTTTATATCACCAAAAATTATGTTGCCTTGCATTTTGGCTCCTAAGGACATACTGTTCCTTCCCAAGCTATTCTCTGTAGTATTATTTATGATGTATTTCATATCCTTATGCTAAGATTCCTGAGCCTAAATAAAGCAAACAGCTCATCTGTTATGCAAAGAATCACAGTCAGCTCATGCATACCAATCAGATGGTCTAGGTAGTTGTCCATAGCTATATGTAGTTTATAGACTTGAATGATGGATGAAATGAAACAATACAGAACAGTGTACACAGTTCCAGGGCTTGAAGGGAACTACTACAGGTAAAAGTGGTGCCAGTCCACAACACCTCTGTGCAAAGGCAAGAGAGACCAACTAAAACTATAAAACGTTGTGTAGCCTTATTGCTGGGGGAGGAAGCTATTAGGGGATAAGACATGCATTGTTCAGGATGACCACAAAAAATTAAAATTCTCTCTAGCTATCATCTATCTCTGTAATGGATGCCACATTCCCATTCTGTGAAAGATCCTCACAACTTCAATGACTGAAAGTGTATAATGTAAAATTATGTTTTATAAATATTCAAAACTGTATCCTACTCTACTGTAGCCCTCGCTATATGCATAAATTAAATGCAATGCTTTCATTATGACTTTTTATGTATTTGGTACAGGGTCTCACTACACAGCTTGGGCTCATAGTGATCCTGTTTTCAGCCTCCCCACAGCTGTGATTACAGGCATGCACATCCCACCCCCTAGCCACCCAGACAAAGTGGCTGGCTCAGCGCACCCAAGGGCAGGGCCAGTGCCACATGTGATGCTGGGGATCACACCCCTCATTATGCTTTTAAATGTTTTCACATTAGCTTTTGGATTTAATCCATAGATCTGGTGGTATCTACCAAAATTATGACAGTTTTATCTAAACAGTTGCTATGCTTTTGTGACAAGTTAAGTCCTTTTTCTTTTTCTATAGCTCACTATCCCTTGAAATTATCTGTACTTCCAGAAACCTCTAAATTCCTTATTCCCCTGTATGCATGAGAGTTCACTGAAGAAAAAAAAGATGAAAAGATATGTCGAACTTTTGCATCCATCCAGTACCTTGGAGCTCGAAAATTGAATAGGAAAACCTCTACTCATATTCTGCCCAGTTTCCGTATGGCTCTTATGGCCATATCAGGTTCAAAGATGAAAATACCTTGGTTACTTTTTCAGTATGTCCACATGCTGAGCTACTTTTATGCTTATTTTATGCAACAGAGTAGGTAATGTAAGTGATATGAGGCTGAATTCCACCACTCCACTTTACAATTCAAAAATTATTGTTCTATATTTTAGGTGAGATGTTTAACATATTAAATTTTTAAACATTAAAACCTTTTCATTTTTGCTGAATTTTATGCTCTAAGAAAATGGTGGTGCTCATCCCCAACTTCCAATATATTTGCATGATGACGCTTTTCCCCCTCCCCTCCTATCCATGGTATAGATACTCTGAGTTTTACCAAGTGTGGGTTGACCTACAAGAGACACGGCTCACATCAGCATTCTCTCTTTTTTCTCCATAATTTTATTGAGAGATAAATAGCAATGAAACAGTTTCAAATCAAATTGGTAGGTCAGTTTCAATAATTAACACATTGCATACTCTCTTCCTAGTGTTTATTTACTATACACAATGCAGACATGATATCCTATTTACAAACATTATTACAAAAAATCCCTCTATTCGTTAAGAGAATGTAACTATATATCTATCCTAACCATTTTAAATACACAGATACAAAATGGTCATTCTCTCTTTAGGTAGAAAACTGCAGGTTAGAATTGCCTCCCTGTGAGTTCACTACAACTCCAACCCCAGAAACATAGGAATTGGGCATGCCTCAAGACTTACAGGCCCAGAAGCAAGTCACTGAATAAGTCCTAAAAACTACCCAAGACGTAAGTGTGGCCTCCTACTTCTAAGAACTTATGCAGAAGTATACTTCAGAAGTGCTCTTGGAGAAACTTCTGGACTTTGGCAGAGCAGTCCTCAACTCTTCAGCCGCATGGACAATAGTTTGGACCACCTGTAGTAGTTACTATTAAATCTTGGAAGGGTAAACCAGGATACTTCTGCGAGCAGTGGACACATTTTGCTCTCTCCAGGGATAAAAAGAGGCCCAGCGACCTCTTAGGTTGTTATTAAAAATCACATGTGCCCTTTCTGAAATCACTTTGCAAAGTTCACAATTTTCCCCTGTATGTAACATTGGGTTTGTCTTCATGCAAGTTAAGGTCATGATCCTTGGTATCTTTTCGTTTTGCTCAAACTCTAACTCGTATTTGTTCCATTTTATCTTCCCGGATAGGTTTATGAT